ACTGGTGAGGATAGGATAGAGTTCAGATCAGTTGTTCACAGGATCGTTACCAGTCGTACTCAACTTGACAACACCTAACACCAACAATGATGCCAGAAGCCATTCCAATAGTTTTTCAAGTAACAGCAGGGTGACATATAGTGGACAGGTTTCAGTGGAGCTTCCAGGCTAAGACAAAGAGATGAAGAAGCCTGTTGGGATAGTGCTGGGGGGAAAATGCAGTGAAAACCTATGAAGGGCAGTGAAACATTCATATCACTACTAGATACCTATCCTAGCAAACTCTGCACCTGTGTACGAGGAAATATGGACAACTAGGTGTCCTTGAATCCTTGTGCAATAGCCACGAACTGGAAGCTGTTCAGATCCACTCTCAGAGGGCTGGATCAAGCACAGAATATTGGCATAAAGGAACATCTAAACCAAACCAACCAACCCCACTGCTGTCAAGTCTACCGCCACTCACAGCAACGCCGCAGAGCAGAAGAGAACCACACCACGGTGTTTCAAGGAGAAACCTTGGAAGCAGACTTCCCCATAGGGTTTCCAGACTCAATTCCTAGAAGCCCACTGCCACATCTTTCTCCCATGGAGTAGCTGGTGTGTTTGAGTTGCTGACTTTGCATGTCATAATCAGGTGTTCAATCACCACACCAGCTGGGCTCCTCTAAAAGAATGTCTGCAGTAGAGAAAGTGATTGGATTACAGCTTCATGACCCAGCACAGCTGAAACTTACACACATAATCCGGAGTACCAAAAGAATTCCACTGTATCTAATAAAGCATCACATCTTTTCTTGGTCTTATCGTAGAAGATAAAGCCAGGACCAGATGCCTACTTATCTATGTCTTCTAGCTGGGCCGTCAGCTCTTTAGACCAAGAACTATATCCTATTCACAACTGTATACTTTCAGAGGCCAAGAAAATGTCCAACATATATCTGTTGAAAGAATGACTATATTTATAAGACACATCCCCAATAAGACCCTGCATTCCTAGCTTGGAGTTCTAGTACAGGAAGCCTAAACTCCGACCTTATACCCACAGATCTCTTTCTGTTATAAATGACTCCTCAGCTGTTGTTACCTAGACCTACAGACTACTGTTAACCTCTCCAATCCGTCTTACTAGAACTAAAGTTCTAGATACTTCCATCTTACACATTCATTCAAGGTCCAGCAATCTATAAACATTATAACTATTCCCAGAAAAAAAGACTATGAGAAAGGAGCTTGACATCATCATAAAAATCTAATTGGGGAGTTTGGTCTATATCTGATTCAGGCAAGTTACACATTTCCCACCATGAATTGCAGAAAGGTGATCATAGCAAAAACAAGGCCTTTCTAGGACCTGACTAACATAAGGCTCAGAAATTCCAAATACAATAAGCCTACCGGATTAATTTAAAAAATTTAGTTAAAACTGATCAAACCAAAATCAATATACCATCCCATTACAATGCCTGTGATAAAAGAGTATGACAGCATTAGGCTACACTGATAATCTCACAACTAAGTCTTATTGGAAATGTCTGAATACCATTCCACATGGAAATAAAAGTAAGTGAAAGGAGTGACTTAAGGGAAAAGCAATTGGACCATTTTCTCTCCTGAAGCACTAGGGGTATTTTTAAAAGTACATTTTTTTTTTTTCTCTCTCTCTCTCCAACACCTAGAGTGCTCTTGCTTTAAATGTTGCAAAGAGAAAATGTCTCTCACACAAGACGAAGGTGATCTTTTTGGACATAATCACAGTAATTTACTCTCCTGGTACCAACTGTCCAAAGCGTGAAGTATACCTTACTGGCGGCTAATGACATCCAAACTATCAGCTAATTCTGTAATCTTTGCAGTTTAAAGTGATACAAGAACACTGCAATTTCTGTATTCAGCAAGACCAAGTACATTTTAGTACCCTGAGATCTAGAATTCTAAATGTCACACAGAGTGTAAGAATATCCAAAGGCACACTCTGGAATTTCTAGCTACAGTTTAATCACTGTCTTGAATTTATTGTCTTTTTTTTTCTTTTTTTAATTTTCTTGAATTTATTGTCTTTTGAAGACACATGGTTACAAACAACTCTACTTGCTCAAAATCTACAAAATGTACTTTCCCCCCCTTTCTACCAAGGCTATGTAGTAGAGGCAGATGTGCTGTTGTTCTTGTATGCTTTTGAGTCAATTTCAATTCATAGCTGACCCTCCAGTAAGTTTTCAGAGGCAGTAAATCAGATGCCTATCCTCCTGCGGAGAAGCTGGTAGATTTGAACTGCATGCTTTTGGGATTGCAGTACAGTTCTCACCAGGCCACTGAGGTTCCTATGTACAGAGAGACATAAGTATATGCTAATTTAAGCGTCTTTAGTTTTAATTGTTATTTTGTGACATTTCATTTCAATGGCTACTGAAATCTTCCTTTGCACTTTCCTATGCTACATACTGTTTGCAGAGTGCAGTCCTCCTATGGGGTTTGTGAGAATGGTTGATGAAACACTATTTATACTCAGGGGAATCCTAAAGAATAAGGGCAAGTCCTGAGGCATGATAGAACTTGGACTAGCAAGCTGGACCAGGTTTCACATCAGCTAGTTTTATACCTGACATTATCATTCCTTCCTTTCTCTGGGTCACAACTGGTGAACTCAGGAGAAAAGGAGAGCTCACGTGGCAATTCTGCTTTCTGCAGTAGGAAGCAGGTATACAAGAGTATCTTCTAGATGGATGCAGAAAAATTGGCAGCACAAAGACGGTTCTAGGGTGAAATTATCAGAGATGGCTTGATGGAGGGGCTAAGTCTTAATCAGCCTCCTGCACTGCTGTCAAGTGAGTTCTGACTTAAATCATCCCTCCACTGTGTTTCAGAAACTGTAATTCTCATGAGAGGAGTGACTAGTGGAGTCAAACAGCTGGAGATGTGCAGGCTTTGAGTTAACAGTTGCAGCCCACCCTGGAGTGCCACCAGGGCTCCGGGAAGTACAATCATGCCACAGCAGGACAAGCATCACTGTGGGGCTGTGGGTGCGGCTGTTGCTGCTGTTGGGCGCAGTCCAGTCTAGTACAACTCCTAGAGACCCTATAAACAGCAGATCTGAACCCTGTCCTGTCCTGTGCCATCCTTCTCATCTCTGGCACACTTGAGCTCATTGTATTTACTGTGTCAATCCATCTCCCTGAGGGTCTCTTACGCATTGGAGTGTGTGATCTAAAAGAGAACAAAGTGTTTGGAAACCTCACTCTTTTCCTGACTATCTTTTGTGTCTTCCTGACTATACATTTGCTATTCCCAGTTCATCCTCCCACCCCCATCAGTTCCACCTCTCCTGGGAGAGAGGTGTTCAGGATGAGTGGGAGAACAGCATGCTACCTCATTTTAAATGGCATTTCACTCATTAGCTAAGGACTGGAATGATTATCCAGCCAAATTCACTCATTGCCCGAGTGACTCACTGAACCACATTGATGACCTAGTGATCTAAAAATTACCTAATTGCATACACAGTTTTATTCAAAGTACAATTAAGAAATGCACAATTTATCTAAGTGATTGGATCAGTGGTGAATGGAAGAGTACTAAAAATTTACATTGAGAATAATAAATGCTCTATATTGTATGCATATTGATAAAATCAGTCATGTTTTTAAACAGTCATGTTTCCTCCTTTCTCTCGGTAATGTCTAGAGGGAGACAGACAATAACTTATCTGATTTATAATGAACAGGCAACATCGTACTAACATCAAGGAATTAAAACAGCTGTATCTTTTTTGTGCCCAGGAATTTTTCTTATCATGGAAGGGCCATTCTAAGAGAAACAGCCAGAATATTGTTATGCAGTTTAGGGCTATGGTAAAATCTGGAGTGAAGCTACCTATCTCCTTGTCCCTTCATAACTTTCATTTAAATATATATTTACTTACAACTGTTCTTCAAATAGGATGAGCTCCATTTGACACACAGAGTGAATAAGCTTTCTTTGCCTGTTTGCTTACTTTGCTTTCCTAACACAAAATATTTGCTATTTCAACATTCTTTACAAATACAATTCAGTGACACCAGTGTGTAAGGGCAATGGCTACACAATATGAAAATGATAGTAAGTGGCAATTCACATTCCTTCTTGCAAAGCTTAACTTCAGATTCCTCTGAATCCCTTAATAAGCTTCACTTTCCCTAAATCTTCGTCATCTATTTGCCATTCAAGGTCCACAGTTTCCAAACCCTTAAGATGTATAAACACCATTATGAATTCCTTTTGTTAACTGTTCTTCTGGGGTTGTTATTTCACTGAAGAAGTGAGAAATTATACAATATTTAAGAACATGTTCCAATTTCCAATGGCCTTTCACTCTTGTTCTATTATCTCCTACACATTAAAGAGAATGTGACAGTTACAAGAAAAAAAAAATCGGGTCCACTTATCTCTGAAAACTACCTGAAACTGTTTCATGCAAGTTGGAGGAACAGTTCAGATCCTAAGGCAGGACACAGACTGCAGGGAACAGAAGATTTTATGTTGAATTGATAACATGTTGATCTTTTGTATTTTTTTAGCTTCTCACAGGTTGCAGGCAGAATCCTTAAGCATTCAAATGCACCTTTCACAGCCAGATATGGACTGCTGTCATGTTACAGGCTATACTTACATATTATAGCACTGCAAATACTGAACATTATCATGTCGTTTATGTAAAATATCTTCCTCTAAGGCACTCAAAAGAGTTTTTAGAAAATATTTCCGAATTCTGAGGATCATATGAGTATCCTCACGTAAAGGCACCAAAATGAAGAGGATGCTTTTTTCTTCTCTTCCAATTAACAGTGGGGAAGAGATCTGAGTACAAATGAGTGAAATGATTTACACAAGGCTATATACATTCCAGTGACAGCACAGGGAGGAGATGATGCATTTGAATGAGAACAGGTCATGTTGCAATGAGACAGTCAAAAGAACAAAACAAACCCCTCAGTCTTGAGAGGACGTTTATGTCACAATACCATTTAGTCCACAAGTTGCCTCCTTCATCTCTGAAGCTCCGTGCCTCTGGCTCCTATAAATGATGTGTGGGTGGTACTGTCCCTCAGCCAGTGGATGCTTTTTCACGGGCTCAATGAAAAAGTCTCCATGCGGTAGATGGAAAAATCCAGTCTGTAAACATAATCAAGAAGGAAATTTATTTGCATCACCTTTTTTTTTGAATCTCTGCAGGAAAAAAAAATATATAATGCAAACCTTTATAGCACTTTATTAATGCATGTATTTAGTTGAAAAACTACTATTCACATTAAAATTATATTATCATGATTCACATTCTAATTATATTATAATAATTCACATTATTATATTATCATGATGATAGCTGAAACTCAGAGGGGCAATGTTTTCAGAGTCCGCTTTTTCAATGTCTCCATAGCCATGGTTGTTAAATGCTTTGGAGTCACGGATCCTTAAGTGTCTCCAGTTTAAGAAATGTACATATATGCTTGCATCTAAAATGTAGCATACAGTTTTAAACTCATGGGTTGTGCTGAAATCCATTCCTATTGTATCTATGGATTTCAAATTAAGAGACAAAGTCTCTCAGTCTCCCTAGGTTGCCACTGTCTGATTGAGCTCCATGCACAGTGCAACATAATCAGATGAGAAGTGGACTGTTAGGAAGTGATTTTTAGAAAAGATTGCCCGGCATATCTTCCTAGTTCATCTTAGTCTGAAAGATCTGCTAAAAAACCTCTTCGGCATCACAGTAACACACAGCCTCCAACAACAGATGGTGACTGTATGTGAAGAACATTGGCAGGGAAATGAAACCAGGTGTCCCCCAGGTTTCCAAGAATCCCACCTGAGTCACCATAAACTTTTTCCTATTATAGACATACCTGTACCCTTTACTTCTCTTAATACCTATATTCCAGACTCCATCAAGAGCCTTTTTGGATTATGTGTGGAGCCTTGTGTAGTATTATGTGTAGTCTAACCACATGTCCACTCAACTCTAGGAAGTGGTTAATGCCGTCTGCTCTCAGGAAAAGAAAGTATAGTAGTAATAAGTCTCTAATCTAAGATGAAGGTTCAAAAGTCTGTAACTCTTTGGATTTCCATTCATTCATTGTTGTAGATTTGTCCCCTCCCAAGGCTCCCCCCTGACCAGACATTACCCTCTTGGAAAAGTAAAAGAAAAGATTCTTTCATTATTTTACAAACCCTCCACCAGGTCCACTCCACCATGTAGCCATCTCTCTAGACTCCTGTCATGACAGAAATACCTAATCACATATCTCTTTTAAACAGTTTTCTCCCTTGTCTGTTTCAGAGCAGCATACATTATTGAACCCATCTTACTCA